TGCAAATCCCAGCCATTTTTATTTATTTATTTTTTTTTGAGGCCCACCATGACTTGATGTAGCATTGCGCTTTTTTTCTTTCTCGTCCACTGATATTAGACATGCGCGTATTGACATGTGTCTGTATTATTGTGTATAAACATGTCCACAGAACAGGATTTGCCGACTCTCTGTGATCAAACCGCACTTTAAGATGCACTTCCTTGAGTTTTATATAGCATTTTAAACTATATATTTTGAGCTACGTAATTCATTACCACTGGAATGAAGCCCAACTGTATAGTGTATACACAACTATACACGAGGACGCTTCAATCACACAACAGGAGTTTGTGGATGTTAAACTCTGCATAAACCTGAAGCTGCGCCTTTTTTTTCTCTTATTTTGATGCAGAATTGTGACTAAATATTAAATGAGAAAGCAGTGGGCGTGGCTTGTTTTTTTACAGCGTGCTGATTGGATTTAGCTAAGTAGGCGTTTCATTCAGAAAGACGTGGAAAAGGGTTTCAATAAAATTATTACAACCGAATAGACACCTCCTCACCATTTCTGATTGTTGACTGACAGCTGAAGGGGTGTGGTTAAGTATGTTAGCCACGCCCAATACCTAGCGCCCCATTCACACGGGGCTTCAGCGTCAACGCTTCACTACGTGTCTGAAGTTGGGGTTGCCGCGAACGTCAAAGCAACGTCAGCCAATGAAATTCCATCAGCAGTAGGCCACTGTCCAGCTGGTGTATTTGCATACGGCAATCTGATTGGCTTATGCTTCCATCGGCGCTTAAAGTTGAACTAGTCCCAACTTCTGCAGAGAGCAACGCCTCTAAAGCGGCGCCGATGGGTCAACAATGCAGTTCGGCAACACCTGAAGTCACCCATTTAAAGTGAATGGGAAGCGTTGACGCTGAAGCCCTGTGTGAATGGGGCGTGAGACGGACCTAATTTATCAGGACCTGCTTTTTCAGATTTTAGTTAACGATTACAAGGGTAAACAACAGACGAGCACAAAACTAGCAATGTGAGCTTACAAAATCAATATGTTAGCATTAGGGGTGTCACGATTTCGATTGTTAATCGAAATCGATCGAAATTTATGCTCAATTTTGATTTTCAATTTAAAAAATAGAATCGTCAGTGCTGCCACGCCCCCATGTCACGTCAGCTTGGCTTGCCAAGCGGGAAAAAACAGGCTTGTTGAAGTGCTTGTTAAACTGCTGAAGCAGGAGACCCGTCGACAGAGCTTAAACCCTCTCCTCTTTCAATGAAGTCGCCGGTGTGGAAGCATTTTGGATTTCCAGTGAGTTATGTTGACAACGTTCGTGTTGTCGACAAAAAAAAACACAGTTTTGCAAGCTCTGCTATGTACGTATTACGTACGGTTCGTCTGATAGACAACACCGGCATCGCGATCCTCCGCCCGCCCCCGTTGCAAATCCGCTCGCGAAAAGTACACACTCAGGCCCTGTTTACACTGTCTTTGTTTTTAAATGGCATTTTAGAACGACAACGATTTGACATCCCCAGTGGCGTGTAGCATTTCTGAGCAGCCCTCCTTCCTCTCTACCACTGAAAATGCACATCACGTGACCACACAGACACAGACGCACACACAGCCATGCGCTCGAGACAGCAGGTCCAGGCAGTCAGAGGACTGCTTCAATCTTTCACTCACTTGTACTTAGTCATTTTAGCGAACACCTCAGATACTGTTGGCTGGTTCCTGTTGGTTGTGCGTCTTTTTTACCGACGCCATTATAACGACACAGATCACTGCCTATTCACGAGTCCCGCAGAAAAAGTGATTGACAGGTGGTAATTATGTGTGTATCTTGCCTTTATTCATTTACTGTATGATTTGTTTATTGGTAAAACAAAGACCATGCAGGTCAGGTAGTTAAAACGGTAGGCTACAAATAATTAATTGGTCATTAATTAATTAATTAATTATTCATAATCAAAAATCGAATCGTGCCTTTAAAATCGAAAATGTAATCGAATCGAGGATTTGGAGGATCGTGACACCCTTAGTTAGCATATTTACCTGTTTGGTTGGCCATGTGTGTGTGTGATTGAATGTTTGTAAACAGAAAGGCATTTGTGTGTGGCTCATTCATCTTACTGTGGTGTTTGTGACTGTGGGTCTCTTTATCTTAAGTTGCTTTCTGTGTTTATCATGAAAGCTGCTCCTGGTTATCCTTCTCTGAATAGAAATTATGAAAAGTGGGCGGGGAGAAGCAGCTCATTTGCATTTAAAGGAACAGGCTCTCTAACCCAAAAAATGTACATTTTCAATAGGGTGTTATAAATAATCTGTTGGGGATTTTGAGCTAAAACCTCACAGACATAATCAGGAGACACCCAAAGACTTATTTCATCTTCTAAAAAGGCCAAAATTGGAGTCCTTTAATAGATTTGACTGTAAAAAAGATATTACATTTTTTTCCCTCTCAGCTGTTTACCTGTTAACCTGCATCGATCATTATCGCGGCCGCTTGTTGA